ATGAATACACTTTATATGTGTATGAATAATAGGAGTGCTCCCAGTTACAATCAATGATGGTAAGAGTTTTGGCAGAAAGATTTAAGTCTCAAAGCTCTAGACAACCTTGTAGCTTATTAAAGGCAGGCTAAGAGATAATATTAGGGATATTTGCCCCCCTGACACCTGAGACATCTCATTCTTTATAGTGCTTCCTGTGTTTCTGTGAATTTGGGACCCTGATAGTAAAAATACTGGTTTTTTTCTTGTTTTGTGTTCTTTCTTTTTTTAATTAATTTTTAAAATGTTTGCATGTCCTCTTGCAGACCCTAGCATTCCTATGAGGACACTGAAGTTGCAAAGAGGTGATCTGAAATTTTTTGTACCATATGTTTTTGCACTTTCTATGCAGCTGCTGTAAATAAAAGTCTTGTTGTAAGCAGTGTTGAGGTTGCATGTCTCTTCCACAAATAAGCAAAATGTTTCTGAAAAGGCTGGAAGCTGTTAAAGACTCAACAGCAAATTGTTGTGTACCCAGTAACTTGGATCTGACATCCCTCCCAAGTTGGATTTACTATCTGTCCTGGTACCTTTTAAGTCTAAGAGAGAAACTGTTGCCGAATTTTCTCCTGCTATATGTGAAGAAGCCATGCTTAGCTTTTTGGCACTGTCTGTAAAGTGAATATGGCTTGCTGGTTCAGTGGGGGCCATGGAGGAATTGCTAGACCTGCCTAATGGTAAAGCTTAAGAGAAGTCTCAAAGTGAAAGGGACTTCGTGACTAAAGGGTAATGGGAATATTTAGGAAGAGTTTGGGTTTGCACAACTTATTTAATGAGGGAAACAATTTATAGTAGCAAATGTTGTAGAAGGCTGACTGCCAAAATCAGTTCTAATGCAAGTTTCATGTTTCCTTCTAAAAGATTGAAAAGAATCAAGACTGCAGAGTTACTTGTGATGAATTATTTTAAATGCAGTATGAGCTTAACAAAGTGAAGTTGTACATAACTCAGTTCATTGTTATTTAATTATTTTAATCTGTATATAATATGAATATTTAAAAAAATCCTGACAGAATACACAGATTCAGAGGTGCTTTAAGGGGTTTGTGGGAACAAATGCTGAATTTGATGTAAACTGAAGAGCTGGAAAAATAAAAATCGTTGCCAGTCAAATAGCAAAGGCAAAGGAAGGTCTCTCATATGCTTTGCTGCTCAATGTACAGTAAGTAACTTATACTGTATAGTATATATATAGTAGGTACATTTACTGTTTTCTGCAGCTCTACCTGTTCAGGTTCTCTTCCCGTGCTTTCCAAAACCTGGTCAATTGCAGTTCATAGTCAAACCTTTGCTTAAAACCCAAAAGATCTCAGTAATATGTGTGGGAGTAACTGCTGAGTATAACACAGTCACTTCTGAAAACTGTGTCAGACTTCAGAATCCTAAAATGTTAATCATTGGTGTACTGGATCTAAGTGACTGTGGTAAAAATTGATAGATAATCTGAAAGAAGACGATGAATTGGACCGTGTGTGGGTTTTTTTTCTGGTTCTATCACTGTGTAAAGACTAAGGAACTGGTGGATGGTGGGTTTAAGTGCTTTCCAGCACATTTCCTTTTCCAGCTTTACCTGTGTCATTATCTTTGTTGAAGTTCACATGTTGGCAGCTGGGAGTGTGGTTCTGGCAATATTTTTTTTCACTGGCAAAACTTATTTAAGAAACTTCATTCTTTCTTGCCTCTCATAACATTCCTGTAATTGTTCGTTGCCTCCGTAGTTGTACAGGGAGTTGTACGGGGGCTGCATTGTGGTGACTGAAACGATTCCAGGGATTTGATTTACGGTGAGGCCTTATGAACAGCTGTTGCGTCAGCGCAACTGAGAAGGCAGCAAATGGAGATGGGAATTTTCAAAGCCAGTTGTCTGAAAGTTGGCAGAGTTATGCCGACTTAGGTTCAAATTATTCTAACATTTAAGAGAGAAAAGACTGGTGGTAGAAAAAATAGTGTATTTTATTAGATATGCAGATATAACTGGAACAAATGGATGATCTGTCAGGCAGGTAAGTTGTATAGTCTTTGGTAGGGTTTCACTGTTGTTCCACGAGTGGATGTTAGTATATTGTTTCTGAGTTTTATTATGTAATAGTTGTTCAAAATTTAATTTTTCCTGTTAAACAACTGTTACAGGCCTGATACGTATTGGTGTGTTCTACATGTCCTGCCCATTTTAATGCATAAAATTGAAGTTGTACCCGCTTAGCAAACTCAGGAACTCAGGGTAGTAAGAGATGCCACAGTGAATTTAAAAGCTGTTTTGTCAGTTTTGGGTAACTTTTCTGTAAATGGGAAGTTTTAAAAACAATCATATTGATTTTCAGTTGTAGATTCTTTTTAGTTTAAATACACTGTTGAAATTATACTAATGTATTTTTTACCTAAGCTCTGTTTAGAATACATTGATAGTCTGGGTTTTTTTGCACTGAGTAAACTGTACTTCAGGAATCTTCATACAGTTTTAAAACACTCTGAGCTAATTCTTCACATAAGTAGCACTGGCTACAGAAGATTTGAAAGGGAACACTGGTGATGAGGTAGGCATCTGTTACCCTGTGACTGAGAGTAGCTAGTTGATATGGCTTTATGCAGACAGCTATCAGAAACCTCCCACTCAGGCTTTCATGCTCATGGGGGATTTCAGCCATGCGGACGTCAGCTAGGAGAGCAATCTGGCATTGTGTATGCACTCTTGGTACCTTGTGAGCAGTGGAAATTGGTGGAAATTTTGTAACACAGATGCCAGAGAGACTGGTCAGGGTTAACTCTTCACTTCATCTGCTGCTTTCAAGTAGGAAAGAATTGTGACCAGTTTGGTCATAGGTGGGAGGCTGGATTTCAGTGACCAGAACGTGATTGAGTTGCAGATCTGGAGGAAGGCTGGGAAGGTAAGCAGCAGAGTTAGGATCCTTTGATTTATGGACTGCAGGTTTTCACTTACTCAGGAAATTGGTAGGTAGAATCCTTTGTGTAACAACCACAAAGAGGAAAACTGCACAGGAGAGCTTGAAGATTTTTAAAGAAAACTTAAAGATGGCTCAGGAATAAACCACTCCACAGTAGCAAGAGGCCTGCTTGGCCAAGCAGGGAACTTCTCAATGAACTACAGTACAAAAAGGGAGCATACAAAAGTCCAAATAAGGACAGACAACGGAAATGTAAAAGCCCAATTTGGTGTGTAGGGACAAAATCCCTACCCTCTTGTCAGAGTGCAGATCTTAAGTCTGGAAGGACTCTGATAAGCTTGAGAACTGTGTCATGGTTTTAATCTGTGAAAGTTGAAAAGGAAGTATGAAGTTCTGCCTCTGGACTAAAGTTTTGCTATGTGCCACTGTAGACTGGGGAGGGACTGGCTGAGTAGCAACTTTGGTGAAAAGGCTGTGGGGTTGCAGTGTATGTCTAGTTGAATATGAGCCAACACCTCATAGCAATTAAGGTGAATCACAGACTGGACTACATTAGAAGCATGGGCAATAGCAAAGGGAGAGTTCATCTCTAGCACTGGTGGGGCTCTGCCTGGAATGCTGAGTCCAATTGCAGGTTCCACAATTTTAGGAGATAATGAGAAACTGATGGAGTCTGCTGGAGGGTTACCAAAATCATGAGGGACCTAGAGCACCTCACGCTGAGGAGAAGCTGAGGGGTGTGGGTTTGTTTGTTTTGCAACAGGCCTAACAGAGGAGAAATCTGTTGGCAACTTAACAATTATAATTACAAAAATGATTAAGTCTAACTCTATAGCAGCAGATAATATATCAAAAGGCACTCATCACAAACTAGGGTTTGGGAGGCTCGAACTGGACAGTGGGACAAACCTTTTTGTTAGGAGAATAGTACAGCAGGGGAAGAGGTTGGCTAGAATGGCTGTGGAACATCCGTCCTTGAAGGTTTTTGAGATTCAGTCAGACAGAGCCACAGCTCATCAGATCTTCTCTTGGAGGTTAAATGATGTTGAGCAGGGGGTTGGAGAAGATCACCAGTATTTCTGAAGTGTTTTGGTAATTGATGAAATGGACATCTTAGCACTTCTTTCACATGGTAAGTGTATTATGAAGAGATATTCCGAAATTTGTATATCAAGTCTATGGGAGATCATCATGCTATTAAACATTTAAGACTGACTTTTCACATCATTACACTTTTGTAATTGAGCACTATCAGACTCCCCACCTTCAAGGTATGCTATTGGCCCAAACAAAAAAAAGCTCTCTGCTAAGTAAAGATTGTAAGCTTTCTACATGACTGGATGTCAGATAAGATTCCATGTTCATGCTGTCGATTTTCTACTAATGCAGAAAAATGAAGGAAAAGATTCATTTCCTGGAGTAAATACCAATATTTTGGTTTAATGATGCTTTGGATTTTAATTAGTAAAGACAATCATTAGCCTAAAACAGACAATTGAAAACTCCAGCGTTAGCTTCAAAACTAAAAATTAAAAAAAGAGGAGGTCTAACAAGAATGTTGAGTAGAAATAGAGTAGTATTCAAATTTCATGTTTGAAGTAATTATTTTGGTTTCTTAGAGGAAAAGACTTGAGGTCATAAAAAAGGGCAACTGGGGTGGACTTTTTTGGTTAGATTGGAGATAGGTTTTTTTGTGTAAACCTTCGTCTATTTTGACAGCAGCAGCTGTCAGTCTGCAGTGTCCTGTCTGCAGCAGCTGAGCTTCACCTCATCTATATGTGAAAGCAGTGGTGGTCGAGGAACAAACCTAGTGAGTGCAGGGAATAGGTTTCTGTCCCTCCTACTTATGTGTTTGGGAGGTTGCCAGTACTGATATGTGATGCAGAATAGGTGACAGTGTTGCTCAGTGACTGTATAATATTTGCAGCCATAAAGATAGCCAATAAGAGCTGCTATGAAATGAAATGACTCTTCAAGGATAAGTGAGGGTGGACAATCTTTTCTGTTTCTTCATGGAAATATGCTGGATAAATATCAGTTAAAAGCATAGGAGTTTTTTTCCTCCTTTCCTTCACTTTAGAATGAACTGAAGACCTGGAAATATACATTTGAATATAATACAGATTTCAGACTTTCCTTTAACAGGTGTGATTTTCCGACACAGAAATTCATATTAGCAGAGCTTAGCACCTTCACAGTTTTAATATGCTCTTGCTGTTGTTGGCTTTTGAAACCAGATGGATAGTTTGTGTACAAGTGAATGTGTAATATACCAAGATGATTGTTAGAGTCCATTAACCTCACATATTTTCAGGACTAAAGAGGCCAAAAGGCAATAAATTCAGCGACCTAAAAACATAATGTTCCTGAAGCTTCATTGTAGTGTCTTCTAAAAACCCTCATAATATAAATACAGTTTACACATGAGACTGGAACTATTTGTGTTGTCACTTAAAAAACTAAATACATGTATAGATCTGTTCAGGGTGGGTTTTTTTGCAGTAGCATTTATTTAAAAATGGCCTTTTCAGAGGTATTCATTTCCTTTTTTCTTAATGTGTTATTTTACTAGAAAAATGGTGAGTAGAATAAAACTTTTTTCTACTTTGTAGTTGAGATGCAACTTGTTTATCTTCAGATATTACCAGTGTTGAAAATAATTTAAACAGCAGTGTCTTTTCAGCATACAGGAATGAATAGTAGGATTAGGAAATAGTCTTGTGGGAGGTGGAGAGGAGAAGAGGGATAGTTGGTGTGATAATTACTAGCTTTCAAATAGAAGACCAGTCAAACATGCCAAGTCCAGAGTAAGACTGCATGTTTGAGAAGCCTTCTTTCTGAGATTCTAAAATAAAGTCATCCACAGTGCGTCAGAACAAAGGTCCATCAAGTCTACTATTCCATATTGAGAACAGTGAGTAGGAGATGTGGGGGGAGAGTAAAAGCACAGGGTGTTGTTCATGCAGGGGTGCCCTGCCAAAGTGCTTTCCCAGCCTCTGGCTGCCTCCTCTGCATCTCAGAGGCTGGGAGCTAGAGATGCTGCCTTTCTATTCAGTAGCCTAGGCCATGGTGTACTGAGTGGAAAAAATAAGTCTGCACACCTGAAGAGCCCTTCCTTCTTAGTTACTGTAAAAAGCAGATATAGATATTGATATTGTTTCTGTCTTAAAGTGTAGGTCTAAAGAAGAGAACATCAGGTTCAGTGCACTGCAGTTACTGTGCATGTTCGAATTTCCATATTGCCAGAGATGCAATTCACACCTTTCTATTCCAGATGCAGGAGAAAGAGCTCATTGCATGTATTGAGGCTGTTTTCATATCTACTTTTTTTCCCAGAGTCTCTTCAGAGTCCTGTTACTGAGTCGTGATCTTTATGTGCTGCCAATTTCTGACCCATGTTGCACGGGCTCTTAAAAGACCTGCTTTCTCTGTATGTTGTCTGCCTCGTGAATGAGATGTCCCCCTTTAGTGCTTGTCTTGTTTCAGTAGCCATACCTCTTTGTGTACCTTGGGGCACTGTCTCTCACTGTTTTCCCCAAAGACTGTGGTATCTAAGATTACTGTTTTCTGTGTGGGAAACAAGAAAGCAGGAGCATATTTCACTGCTTACCTAAGCAAGCCTTATATAGGCTACAAAGTCTCCATCACAAACTCCTGTGTGTATAGCCCTTGTCCGCAGTAGTGTGGTAGTAGCTTGTGAGATGGATTGGAGTATATAGGCTATTCCATAATTTACCACATAGTCAAACAATGTGGGATACGTGCTCTCAAATTATGAGTCTTGCTGATTTAATGCCACCATTTTACTGAGAAGACTGTTATCAGTTCCTTGCCAGCTGGTGAAACACTGGAAAGAGCCTGTCTGGAATGAGATATCTGTTCGAAGAGTTTGGAAATGCAGTGGAAATGGACTAACCAAACATGAGTTTTTAAACAAGTACAGAAGAAAAAAATTGAGACAAGAAAATACAGTCCAGGTGGAAGTGTGTGATAAGATTAGTGGGCTAATCCTTCCTGTGCTCATTTAGCTAGGAAAATGGACTCTCCTGTCTTGGTTTATTATTGCTTGAAGTTCTGTTAAACACTGCTAATATTTTTGCTTTCTGGGCAGATGCAGGCTGGAGGCAACATCTGTCACCAGGCAGCAACAAACCTATTAAAAGATGAATACCCTGACTGTATCCTAGGGATTTTGTGGGCTCGGCTCTCACCACATCTTACATATAGTTCCCTCCCAGCCCATTTTTCGTGGAAGTTTGTAGAGTCCATTGATGGCTGGAATACCTGTGGGATTTTTGGACATAGTTAGATGTGCTGGTCAAGGGTTAGCGCACTAGGGACTGAGATAAATACCACCTGAAGAGATAGATTTTCTGTTTTTCACCTAGATCAAACTCAGTTGTGATTTGTTTTTTTTTTAGGGAGTGCAGGAAATCAACTAAAGCTTTTCAGCTTATGTGCTAATAGACTGAGTAATTGAGATTCTGTCCTGTAGTTGATATCATCATTCCAACGTATTGAAAAAGTCTGACATCTTGTTGTTTTGGCATCTTGTCCCTACTGTGTTTTGGAAGACTGTGTATGCACGAAAAAGTATTTACAACTTGAGCTGTGGTGATTTCAGCTAGGAGCTAATTAATCATATATTCTGGTCTCATTGCATGTTGACTGGGGAATGGAGAGAAAATAAACTGTCACTAATTTCCTAAGAATATGTAAGGCAACCTGCTCTTTTTAGAATGTTAAAATTCTTCCTAGCTTTTGCAGGAGGCAGTGAGCTCCTAGGGTGTTTTCATCAACTTGGAGACATTTTCATAGAATCATAGAATATCCTGAGTTGGAAGGGACCCACAAGGATCATTGAGGTCCAACTCCTGGCCCTGCACAGAACACCTCAAGAATCATACCATGTGCTTGAGACTGTTGTCCAAACACTTCCTGAATTCTGTCAGGCTTGGTGCTGTGACCACTTCCCTGGGGAGCCTGTTCCAGTATCCAACCACCCTGTAGGTGAAGAACCTTTTCTTAGATCTCCCCTGACACAGCTTCATGCTGCTCTGGTCACCACAGAGAAGAGATCAGTTCCTGCCCCTGCCCCTCCCCTCATGAGGAAGCTACAGATTGCAATGAGGTCTCCTCTTGGTCTTCTGTCCTCCAGGCTGAACAAGCCAGGTGACCTCAGCTGTTCCTCATACTGCTTCCCCTCATCCCATCGCCATGAGTAGCCCAGATTAGAAAGGTGTGGAGGAAAAAATGTTGGTGCCCTGCCATGATCCTCTTTAGCTGTTCCCCAATGAGAAAGTGATTGGAGCTGCAGCAGAAGAAAGAGAAAAGGAGAGAATGCTTAGGCAATAATAGTTTTTCTTACTTTAAAACTTAGAGAAATGGGCAAAACACTAGGAGAGCCATAGACTAGATATTACTCCCTGCAGTGCTTGAGTCTGTTGTTAGTAAATTTAAGTGACTCTTAATTTAAGATATGTAACAGTTCCCAGAATGGGAGCCAGGGACCTAAGCTAATGCAGAACTTTCTTTTGGAGTGAGTTTGAATGCATCACACTGAAGAGGGCATAGTACTCTTTGGTGCATTTGAAATGCAAATTCAGCAAAGGCCAGAAAATTAGCTATAGCCCTAGACAGCTGCCTAATTCTTAGCTTAGCCCAGCTCTGTCCAGGACCATCCCGCCTCTGGGCTTTTGCACAGATCAGCCAAAGAAGGGTTCTTAGCTCTAGCATGGAAAGTGGGAACTGCTTGGTGCTGCTTGCACTTAGGACCAGGGATGAATTCTTATTCATCTTTTATATGGCAGTACTGCTGTTGCCTGTCTCCCACTTTCTGGCAAGCCATCGGAGCACTGTATTGTTGCATAAAATGTGGGAACAATAACCAGCTTACTATCTTTTGCCAATATTTTAGGGAAAAAATGGGACCCTGATTATTTATACTTCAGAAGCCACATAAAGACCCATGTTCAGGCATGTATGTCAGGTTGTGAATCCCAGTCTTGGCAAGTCAAGCCCTTCAATGTGGGAGGAAATCAGCTACAATCCTTTCTTTACTGCTTGCTGTTTGTTACTGTAGGTGATTCTCCTCTGGCTGCTATAAATCTAAACGTGTAACCTTTCCCATGGATTGTGTGAGTCATGTCAGGACCTGGGGATTCTCAGTCCTGTGAGATGAGCAGTAACATCTGGGTGTGCTGGAAGAAAATGGCTTTTGAGTGCAAAACTACAGTCACTGCTAACTGAAAGGAGAGCTTCTGTGTGTATGGAAGGAGTTTTAGTTACCTCTTAATTTGGACAAGTGGCTTCTTCAGCATTTCCCTTTCTGGTTCCAGCATTTGTCTTCCAAAATGTTTGACTCCCTCCACGGTGCTGTAGACTGAGTCCTCTTGGATAGAGTAGGACAAGGGGCAGATCTACAAGAGAGTTTTTAAAGTTGGATCTTGTTTGTGATCTCTGTACTTTATACATCTTATTTTTGAGAAAAGCACAAACACAAAAGACAGTTCCAAAACTTGGCCTCAGTTCATGGAAAGGTAATGTAATCACAGTGCTGTGGCAAAACTACACCCCTGTGCAGCAGTCTTACTCCAGTAGTCCTCTCCATCCTCATGCACGCACTACAGTGTCAATTGAGCACTGGAGGTGGTGTTATCTTCAGCACCAGTCATGGAAAAAAACGTCATTTAACTAGAGTAATTTTAGTTTCATGGTGCTTCTGAACTCATTTATGTAGCCCAGATTGTCTCTTGAAAAAAATAATCTTCAGGTTTGTTACCAGTCTACAGCTCATTTTCTTGGGATTTGGGTGTTGTGCTGTTTTTTTGTGTGACTGCTGCTGCCTTGGTGCTCACCCATCCTGACTGCAAACTAGTTTTCACTTTTGATTTTCACGAGAAAGAAAGAAGAAATTTAATTCAAGCCTATGGCTGCAGAAAGATAGATAAGACAGGCAGATCATAGTAAGAGACCAGTAAATAAACTGTCCAGATGCTCTAGGTTTGGCAAAATCCAGAGCAAGAAATGCTTGAGACCTCTCAAACCTTGGAAAGGTGCCAGGTTCTGCAGCCATGTAGTCAGGGAATGCAGGAAGAGCCCACTGGCATGAATCTGTCATTTTGTACCTCCAACAGATACTGTTTCAGGCTGCTTGAAAGCTCAGGAAGATTATCACCCTACAGGTGTTTCTCATTGGTCATTCTGCAGGCAAATGTGCTGAAGATTTAATTTCAGTAAATCAACAATGGTAGCTGGAATGGGGTTCTACACTGAGCTTGAATTCCATAGGTCCCAACAAAGTAATGTATGGTTATAACAAAAAAAAACAAAACAGTCAAGGAATATAAATTAAATGCAAATTGTCCAGGTACCTGATCTGTGGAAAAGCAGCAGAGCCTAATTAATAAACACAAACACATTAGAGGCTGCTTTGTGAACACACAGTCAGCCTTACCACAGCAGGCCTATGTTTTTAATTTTAAGGACTTTAGGCTCTTAGAAAGTATCTGAAGTATCTGAGAACTAAAAGACTTCTTTTCTTTTTTTTTAGGTGATACTGTCACTATTGGAGATGTGTCTTTTAAACTCAAAACACCGAAGAACCCAGAACTTGTTCCACAGAACTACAGTAAGAATCTGCTTTCTTTTTGAATGAGGTTCAAGACTTTATTCAGAAAACTTCTACTCACTCAATCACCCCACAGACTTTACTGAAATTATCTAAGAAATATATTTTGAAAAAGCAGGAAATTTGGAGAAGGCTGTCTTTGCTGAGTATATCTCTGGTCAGCTGATTGTATAGGAATCTCTTAACTTTGAATGTAACTTGTTCCACTGGTCAGTAGGATAGTAAAAGGATCATTTGTGTATGTTTAATTATTTTGTTGAAAAGGGTTCCTATCCAGAAATTACTTCTAAAAATAATCTCAAATTGTTTGGTCGTAAAACTGTGGCAGTTTAGAATTATCATTCAATTGCATTGTAATTATATGTCCTAGGAGTTTGGCAGATGTATGGTGTTTTTCTGCTGTGATATTTAGTATTCCCAGATTGTCATGTTATTGTTGTCAGCAAACATACAGATCTTCACAATCCATCAAAGTTAATGAGAAGTCAATTGCATAGTGATGAAAAATGCTGTCAAATACAAAAGACACAGCTAGTTACACACATTAAGAATGCACATACATGTACTTACAAATTAATTCGCATTATGTTTTGATACCTTATTAAAAATGTCATGGATCTGCAGCCATCCTTATTTCCTGATTGTTGATTGAGAATACACGCTTCTTGAGCTTTTTCTTTTGCACCATGGATCAGCAAGTGAATCATGCTTGTGTTGTGGCATTTCGTAGTACAGTACAGGAAAATGTTTCCTGAGGATCCAAAATGATCAGTTGCTATTTGTTCAACACTTTCACATATAGGCTGCTGGATGTCCAAAATGCAAATTAAAAAACACTCACCAAAACCTGATTTTCCATTCAGATAAATTTGCAGACCAAAACCAAGCACAAATGGCATTCTGAAGGGGTATGCATGTCTTATACTATGCATAGACAAGGACAAGCACCAAGAACTCCCAATTACTGTCCTTGCTGGGCTTGAAAAGTTCTACAGATGAATAGTGAGTGTAGCCATTCACTTGAAGTGGATTTGCTTTCCAGTATGTCTAAATTCATTCCATGACATTTTGACTCAGACACCAAGAAAACTGGGGCACTGGGTTTTCTTTGGCCTTTTAGAAAGATGGCATTGATAATATCAACAAGGGACTTGCCACTGCACATCTGGCAGGATGGCAGGTACCTGCTGGGAGAAAGAGATTGAGGGCAAAAGGGATGTTACAGGTGTACAGGGAATGCTGCTGGTACAGTGTCAGAAAGGGCGAGAGCTGCTGCGTGAAAGTTTGTAATTTTCTTGGACAATGGTGCTGCGGTTCATCAGACAGGCATTAGGTGATCCTGCTTGAGCAGGAGGGTTGGACAAGATGACATGCAGAGGTCCCTTACAGCTTCAACTGTTCTGTGTTTCTGTGCTTCATGATTTTGAAAGGTGCCATCCCAACTGTGGGATGGTAGACCTATGTTACTACTGATATGTTTGTTTCTTACCACTATTCTGTCATGCAGCATTTCTTCTGAAATATTTGCCCTTTGAGAGGTGTAGCAGAAATATAGAGTCATAGAATGGCTTGTATTGGAAGGGGCCTTTAAAGACCATCTAGTCCAACACCCCCAGCAATGAGCAGGGACATCTTCAGCTAGATTAGGTTGCTCAGAGAGCAATACAAAGAGGAAGGTTTGGTTTGCTTTCAGTCTGACTTGTGTGAAATCTGCCATTAGTCTGGTGGGCCAGATCACTGATCTGCATCTGGATTGTGGGCTGCTTAATTCTCATACCCCAGTAAGCATCACACTGTCACTTCCCTACCAGGTGATCTAAGGTAACAAAAATTTCCAATGCCATGTGCCAGCTCTTGCTGTTACAGGGTAGCCTATGAGGAAAGGGTTTCTTTTTTAGACTGTAATGACAATTCCCATACCTCATGAGTTCCCTGGGAATGCAGCCAAATGGTTGAGAAATGCTGCTCTGTATTATTACTTTTCATATGCTGCTCTGTATTACTACTTTTTGTAGCTCCTTAAAGGATAGATTTTTGCTTTTCACCCTTTATTTTGTATGCTTCTTTTCTCATTTTGATCACAAAGGACATCGGTTGTCTATGCTAATGACTGATGTGATCCATTTCACTTATTTATAATTCTTGTAGATTGTTTTGCTTTCTGGTTTTGTTTGCTGTACCGAATGTGTTAGTTTTAACAATGCCTTCCCAGTCACTATTACATGTTTTGTTCAATCTGCACTTTTCAGCAAGGTAAATGTTAACTGTAAGTTACTCTAGCAACATCTCTTTCTGAGAAGGTAAGAGAATTATAAAAGCATTTGGAAGAATGAAAGGAGAAATTTTTGTAGTTAATGATTATAAGAAGGAAAAAGTGGTTGAAAACTGATAGCAAAAAGGTTATTAAATATGGAACTCTACAGAATTATGAGATCTTAGCTAAAATCTGATATCAAAACAAAATGTAACATTTATTAGAACATATATATTATTTTGTTTCTCTTCGTAATCATAACTGAAAGGAACTTGTGTCATGCTTGGGATACTCTTGTTCATCAGTATTGTACTGACAGTAGGATTACTTAAGGTACAAAACTTTGCTTGTAAACTTAACTATTAAATGAGTTAAAATTTAGTAAAGTAGAATAATAATGTATTTAATAGCATAAAATATATTTAAAATACTTAAATACAGTTTATTGGTACATTTAAACTTAGGAATTTTTTTTATCTCTTAGTGTTCAAGTTCTTTGGTAATGTTACTATGGAGAACAAAGTTATATTCCTGAAGTGAAGTAGGTTGTGTTCACTCCATATTGATTATCATCTCTTTATGAGATATTTAGAGAGTATGTGCTTTACTTAACACTTTTTTTGTTCTTTTAAGAGTAGTTTTTGTTTTTCTTTGTGAATGCTGTAGATACAAGTTGTTTTGGTGTAAAACAGATGAACACAATTTATGCATGTATGTACTAATTTATAAACTAAAATGTCATATATTTTGAATTTTTTTTGTAATTAATATTACATTTAAATGAGAAAGTACTTACATGATTTCTTTTAAACTAAGACTAGAAATAATTACATTATCTTCATAAGTGGGAAATATTCCTGAAAAGGTCTCAGACATTGCAGTGGTTGTAGTGGAGTAAGAACTAATAGGAGGGAATTGAAGCAGTTACAGTTCATTTATTAGTATCGCATATGATATTGTTTTCTAGCCTATCTTTTGTGTAAAATAAAATGTTTCCGCTTTTTTCTTCTGCCACATAAAAGCCGTGTTGTTGAAAGTGCACATCTATAATTTGCAGCAGATTTTAGGGATGTTATAACTTATTCTTAACTCAGCATTGTTATTCTAGGCTTAAAAATAGCCTTAAAAATCTGAAGAAATCATAACACAATGAGGAAGGTAAATGTGTTAAGTACCTACAAAACTTCACATTTGTCATTTTGTCACATAATTGCTACAAAAAAATGTGTTTTTTTTCTATTACTAAATTAGATTGATTTTTAACTGATTTTTGCACCTTATTATATTTTGCAGAAACAGATAGGATAGGTATTGCTGGTTGCCCTATGTTTTCATGTCTTTGCTTTTCAGGTTTTATGCTAGATGCCTAGCAAGTTCGGTATGAAATATTCCATTTTATGTGTTAATGTTAAATATTAATTTGTTTTGCTGTTGTTGACAAATGGCTTTTTCTCGAAGATGATAATTAAAGGTACATAAAATCTGAATTCTTTTTAAAGGTGACAAGCAAAAATGAGTCATACACAAGGGAATTTTATTAATGGGATTTCTGTTATAACTGTCTGATACATTCTAGAAAGAGGGCACTTATTTTTGCACTGCTCGTTCTTTTATCAGTAAAAATAAACCCTATATTTTTAAAGTCTCACCATGCCTGAAAGCACGATTGTATCTTTAATTTTACTTTGGAGAAATTTTGTATGACTTTCTGTGATAGTTTAGATCTAAAATTGAATTGCAAGAATGCACATTATTTTTTTTTTTAATGTTGAATTCATGTCAATGCACTGCTTTCCTTAATGGTTTCTGGAAATGTTATGAAAATGACATTTCATGTGTTTATTAATTTTGACAAAACGATTCCTAACACAGCTCTTCCAGGACACTTCGTTCAATGATGGCAAATCCTCATTAAGACAGGGAAAGGGATGTTCTCTTGCAACAGGACTTTGCTGCTCTGTGAAGGTGCAAGTGCATTTGAGAGACTGTAGTCATGTTACATGTAGCTGCATTGAATTGTGCAAGATTAATTTCAAACAGTGCATGGTTTTGTGCCAGATGTCCTGAGTCTTAGCGCCCTCTTCAATGTGTGATCAAAAGGGACGTGCGTGTGTACAGGGGATTAAGTGAGAAATTCTATTAGTTTTTTTTCAGTTGAAATATATGAAACAGTGATTGTCGTGAGGAATTTAAACAGAATGTTTGTGCACATAATAATGAGATACAAAGAAGGTAGCACTAAATGGATTACTGTGCTTGAAATTGTTCTACTGTTGAGGAAATCGGGATTATTTCTCTTTAATAGGCTCAGTGGTGTCAGCAGTTTCTGTTTATTTATTCTTCAGCAAAAGAGTAAGATGACTCTGTGTCCTTTTCACAGGATGGCGTGCACCACATACCAAAGCCAGGACAAGTGTACGTTCAGTTTTTGCTCAGAATAGGTTCAGATTTGCACTGGAATGTGTGTTCATTCTGCTCCATGCTAACTTTACATCTGAGTGTCAGAGTGCAACACATTATAGAGACAGGTTGTATTGCAGTATGACTGTAATGTTGTGCTAACAAAAGATTAAGTCATTGCATAGTTCCTGAGATTAGCTCAGCTGGTTAGGGCATGGTGCTAATATCACCAAGGTTACGGGTTTGATCTCCATACGGGCCATTCACTTAAGAGTTGGACTGCATGAGCCTTGTGGGACCCTTCGAACTCAGAATATCCTGTAAGTACTTCATTCCTAGCCTCAGGGAAGATGTCTTCTGTTAGAGATGGTGATTATTTCAACACTACATTTCATGTAGGCTTCCAACTGTTATTTGGGTGTTACGACCTCATCCAGAATCTGAAATGGTGGTCTTTTTGTCAGTAGAGTTCTGAACATTTTGCATCATTATCCCTGTTTTGTCTGTACTGAGAGTGAGGCACAGGGAGATACAGGGACATGGAAACCTACAGCAAAGGTCTCAGGTGGAGCTCAGAGAATCATGTGCCTCAAAGCAAGGTCAGCTGAATCTGAACCATTCCTGAGAGATGTTTGTCATCCTTGTTCTTAAGATGTGATGGTGACATGGATTTCACAACCTCTCTGCACACTTTGCTCCAGTAATTAATGATTCTTTTGTGACGAAAGCTTGTTCAAATACCTCATTTAGGTCTTTCGAGGCATACTTTCAGTTCCCTTGGGTCTTATTTTATCTAGCATAACCATGATATACAGATAACTTTTTTCTTCGTGGTGGTTCTGTCTTGCATATTGGAAAACAGTTATTTATTTTCTGAACTGAATTCCAATTTATTTTGGTAATTTTTCTTGCTTTTTTCTAGAATCTCTCATACTTTTCAGTGCTGAACTGAGCAGTTGCACCTTAAAGCAGTATGACCCTCCAGTGGGAGTCTGGGCTACAGATAACTGCTCTGACTGTGTGTTTCTCTATGAGTTGTACATCCAGCTAAGAATAGTTTCGTTTATTCCATGTTTATGTGTCACTAAGAGAAACATAGTTTTCTGAATCCCATTCAGGGTTTCTTCCAGAAAGCTATTTGGTTTTACATGTTTCCTTTATATTATCTTTTAATTTACATGAAGAAATATGATTTATCTATGTAGAACTGAAGCAATCAACTCAGAGGAATTAATCTATGAGTTTATGGTCTCATCCAAGAAGTAACTTCCCCCTTTCTAAGCCCCTGCAAAGACTCGCAACTTATTTCCTTACCACCGCAAGAACAAAAATTTTTGGAATGAAGACAGTTTCCATGAAAAATTTATGAGGAAAAATAGTATTCCAGTGAAAACTGTCTGTGATGTAACCGCATTATAAGACTGAAAAGTCTTTGGGCTCTGTGCATCACCATGAAATGGGAAGAGCAGCAATGTTTTACTTGCAAAGTGCTAAATGACAGTCACTGAAAGCAGACCACATAGGAGTGCCTCCCTCTTCACCTTGGCCGTGCTGCCTTCTCCACTTTCTCCTGGCCAACTCACTATCTTTCTTCATTGTCCCCCAGCCTGAACAAGCTGTGAAGTGAGTCTCAGTGAGCTAATTTAAAAAATAAAATAAAAATTCCCTTTTTGAAACGTGTTTATGTTTTTAGACAAAGACCTCCCTCCTTTTCCCCTTTTTCTGTAACTGTATTTTATGGCAGCTGCCCCCTTGCTGGATGTACTGCAGACTGCTGTGGACAGCTGAAGGACCCCCTCGGTATTCAGACAAGATCTTTTTCCTGTCATGAATTTTTTCCTCTCCTGAAAAAAAGGAGAAATTTTCAGACTCTGAGCATGCATTGTAGTGAAGGTTCAGGGTATGCAGAGGTCTTCTTTTATTCTGTTGAAAATTATGTATACTGTTGTCTTCAAAGTGCCTGTTTGTTATTATGTGAATGATCAAACAGGGACACAAGTTCTGCTGTATTTTGTACTGCATTTGGAATAGATATTTTTGGGAATCAGTTCACTTAACTGTCTGAACAGTGGGAAGAGTTAGGTGTCACCTTATTTATGGGATTTCTTCTGTAGCTGGGACACAAGATAGTGTGCCAGAAGATAGTGTCTGCTATCTCCAGCAAATCTTATGGCTTCAGTGAGTGTAGCATCTGCCAAGAATTTACGTATGAGTGAACCAGAAAATTTCTGAGGTTAGCATAGCCATTTCAGTCTTGGTTTTATCAAAAGCTGATTTGTGGATCAAACAGGAGCAGCTGCTGTGTTTGCTTCAAAATCTACCTAAAACATTTTCTACTTTTCTTATTTGGGGATTTCTCCATTCAGCTTCAACTGCTCACTTTACAAAATGTTTGTGGAGATTCTGCTAGGTACTGTCCTACTTATCACATATTATGAATCAATAGAATGCAATTTCTTTCGCTATCTGTCCTTGGTACACAGGAGTAGCAAATTGTAGCACCAACTACTCTCCTGCATGTGCCAGATGGTGTCTTAGAGAATACACTGTAGAGGCTTCTTATGCACCATCCTGCAGATTAAGAATGTAACTATTTAACTACTGCAAATCAGCAGAGTGCCACTAAACAGATTGTTCAAACCCAGTTTGCGTTAGATGCTATGTGACTCATTGGATAATTAATAAAAATTGCTGTAATATACTTGCTGATGCTTTCCTCAGTGAATTTGCCCTATCTTCTAAATGTCGTAGAAAATGGTTACATGATACTTGTAGTAATGTTGACATATGGTTCCTGAATATAGAGAGGAATTTTTTTTCAAGTCATGTTAGAGAAAACTTAAAAGCCTTGCAATGCAGAGAACACAGTACAAGTAGTCTAAATATATATAAATGATATACAAGATACTGTGTATGTACATCTAAGGTTGCTTTTGAAAAACTACTGTGCTTTGGAAATAGTTTATGTAGCATAAACTGCATGTACAACGAAAATGTTACATGATTTTAGAACAGCATAGCTGGAAAAATGAAGTAGGCTTAATATCTGGAACAATGTACTGAACAACTATTATAAAAATACACTAGAGGCACATTGGCTTCATGCAGGTAGAAGTAATAACGAATGTAAGATCTGTCTTAAAATTTTTGGTACCTTTAAGATAATACTTTTTGTTTGTGTGATGCTTTTCAAATTTGAATACTTGTCCAGTAGCACAGTTTGGACAGAGCAGTTCTTCTGGTGTGATGTATTACCCTTTATTTCCCAAAGAATGTATCTAGTAGAAACTTGCCTTATTTTCTTGAAAATCTTGTAGAAAGGAAAGGATTTATTTGCATTTGACCAGTTGCGTGTGGTACAATGTGCATTGCTTTTGGAATACAATACTGCAGTGAAGAAGAAAGTATTTTGCATTCATGTTAGCTTACTATACCATATATGAAAGCTAATCCTGGGCGTGCTCATGACAGTTGTTTAGAAAACAAAACAATAAAGCAAACCTGGAATGTTAGTTTACAAATTAATCTGACCACCATAATGTACGTAGGTAGATTGCTCACCTGTGTGCGTATGCTATTCCTGTTCATATTGGTGGTCAGGATATTGTAGTTTTCCTTGAAAGTAGCTGATTTCGCATGGCTTTGCTGAGTGCCAGACCAAAGACCAAAACATTCAGTTAAAGTTTTTGTCAAAGTTTTCCTTAGTCACTTTTATGCTTGAAAAATCTTTCTTGAATGTCACACAGTCATTTAATGCTGTTTCTATGATCTTACAAAAATGAATTTTAATTCTGATATGCAAAGTGAACTGAACCCTCTCAGAACTGGGAGGCACTACTGCTTGCTGTCCTTAACTCTGCCCTGCACGCACTACTTCCCCTGTCTCAGGAAAGCTTAAGTAGCACTGAAGCTTGTTTTTTTAAATGTTGGCTTCTAATTGCAACCAGTAATCTCACTGAAAAAAAGTTGAAAAACCAAATATTAATTTGGAGATTTCATTACCTCTTGCTCCTTTCTTTCTGTGCTTCAGCATCCCAGTCACCACCTTGAGCCTCAGGCTTCAGACCATCATTAGTCTTGTCAGATTGTTCTGAAAGTAACCATATACATATGTGCATACATTAGTCTCCCTCCTGACTTGCTTATGTTCGCCTTCTCTTCCTGCACTAGTGCTTCTTGCTTGTGGGTGAGAAAGAGCCAGGCTTTGCTGGGGGATATGTGAAGGACTGTTCTGGGAATATGACGCCCCTCCTTCAGTGTGCTCTTTCTGCATGATGATTTCCAGTGCTGCCAACATTTGAGTGCATATGGTAAAGGTTTTAGTTTAATTATAATCAGGTTATTGCTTTTTAGAATAATGAGTTTTATATTTCTTAATAGAAGTAAGCAGATCTGCTTTGAGTTGTTTTTTATGATGATTTTGGAAGCTGTATGGTATCAATGTAGTGATACGGCAAGGTTTGCATTTTCTTGGTAATTCTGTGGTTTATTGTGTCAAAATATAAACAGGAATGAGTTGTCTTTAAAAAAAATAACAAATTAAGTATGTCCCTGATTACTAATCTTTGTCTGGCACAGTCACAGTTTGTTTTTTTTTTTGAAGTTCACGATTCAAAAAAGCATTGGGATATAGGCAGGATAAATATTTTAAAAATTATTAATAATGTATTTACATTATATTAACTGATGCTGAGAAGTCCACTCAACATTGAGTAATAAAAACACGTCTTTATGTTAATCAGTTTAATGTGAAATAAGAATCAGCAACTTTTTTTTCTGTTTTATGTTGGTTGTTTTTTTGAAGGATGAAGTTGTGCAGACAAAAAAGCAGTGGGTAAGACAGCTATGTAAACTTATATGTAAATTAAATGGTCTAATATAAATTCTGTGTGGAATTCTCTGCTTTTCAGCTATCCAGCTTTAGGACAGAACATCTTTATGTCTTCATTTTATTTTTGAAGACAAGAACAAAAAAATGTGTGAATGGTCAGGTATCTAGCACTTTTCAAAATTTAATACTGTGTTCTTATCTTTGTGTTTCAAAGTGACAGATTCTCTGGCCCAGTCTGTAGTCCACCATTTAAGATGGATAATGCAGAAAGATCTTCTTGGCCAAGATGTCTTTCTTATTGGGCCCCCTGGGCCTCTCCGGCGATCTATTGCCATGCAGTATCTGGTAAGTATGTTGGTTTAAATTCTTGGAGACATAGTTATTAATGTCAGTTAGTCATTCCTATACTAGACAAGTGGTAAAAAGTTAGTCCTAGAAAATCTTACAGCAAGCTACTTAGGAGGTAAATAAGTTTTTCCATAAATGTGCTT